TTTTGAGACAGAGCCTCAAGCTGTCACCCTGGGTAGAGTGCTATGGCATCACAGCTCACAGCAACCTCCAACTCCTGGGCTCAAGTGATTCTCCTCCTTCCACCTCCCAAGTAGCTGGGACTACAGGTGCCCGCCACAAACACCTGGCTATTTTTTGGTTGTGACCATCATTGTTTGGCAGGCCTGGGCTGGATTCTAACCCGCCAGCTCAGGTGTATGTGGCTGGTGCCTTAGCTGCTTGAGCCACAGGTACTAGGCCTGCGTGTAGTTCTTAATTAATGGTGTACTTTGTATTTTCTCAAAAATACTAACACATGCATACTTTGAGTTTAAAAACAATTGATGAATAAAAATTGAAAGCTTCTATCCAGTTTTGGTTGGTATGCACAACATACTATGTTTGCTTGCTTGCTTGCTTGCTTGCTTGCTTGCTTTCTTTCTTTCTTTCTTTCTTTCTTTCTTTTTTTTGCAGTTTTTGGCCAGGGCTCGGTTTGAACCTGCTACCTTCAGCATATGGGGCCGGTGCTCCACTCCTTTGAGCCATAGGCACCACCCCTATGTTTGCTTTCTTTAGAATTTCTAATTTTTAAAAATTTTTTTAGGAGACAGCATCTTGGCTTTTGCTGCTTTGGCTAGGATGCAATGATGTAGTCATACCTCTTTGTAGTTTCATACTCTGAATTTGAAACAAACCTCCCACTTCAGCCTGTGTGCATACCACCACACCTGGCAAGTTTAAATTTGTTTTTGTAGAGATGGAGTCTCACTATATTGTCCATGCTGGCCTCAAATTCCTGGCCTTGGTGATCCTCCTGCTTTAGCCTCACAAAATGCTGAGATTACAGGTTTGAGCCACCATGCCTGGCCTGTGTGTGTGTTTTTAAACTAATTGACTCTATTTTATTATTAAAACATTTGATACTCGTGCCAGAAAATTCTAGTAGTACTAAAATAAAAATCAGGAAATTTCTCCACCCCCAATATCATTTCCCAGGGCTAACCTTCACTTGTAAATATTGTATATTCTTCCAGAAATTATCTAGTGACATATTTTAGAGCCTGAGATAGAAGATGCTGGCCTAGAAGTTCAGAGACCTTGGTTCTAGTCTTAGTTCTGCCAGGAACAAGCTTTGTGATTTTGGATAAGTCATTAAACCTTTGTAAAATAAAGGTGGTAGACTATGATTTCTAAGTTCCTTTTTAGCTCTACCTTAAGAACGTGGGTTCTTAAACTTGTAGCTTTACACTAAACACAGTATCTGCAGAGTAAACCAGATAAATATTGAAAATAATGGCTGATTTTCTTAGAAAAGAAAAGCTATAGGGTGGCCATTTTGCTGAAGACAAATATTAAATAAGTATTTAATATTTTATTAAAAAATAGTAATTGGGGCCAAGCGCAGTGGCTCATGCCTGTAATTCTAGCTCTCTGAGGGTCCAAGGCAAGTAGGTTGCTTGAGCTCAGGAGTTCAAGACCAGCCTGAGCAAGAGTAAGACCCCCATCGCTACTAAAAAAAATAAATAAAAAGCAAAACTACCTGGGTTTTGTGGCAGGCGCCTGTAGCCCTAGCTACTTGGGAGGCTGAGGCAGGAAGATTGCTCAAGACCAGCCAGGCACAGTGGCTCACACCTATAATCCCTGCACTTGGGAGGCGGAGGTGGGTGGATTGCCTGAGCTCACAGGTTTGAGACCAGCCTGAGCCAGAGCGAGACCTCATCTCTAAAAATAGCCGAGTGTTGTGGTGGGCACCTGTAGTCCTAGCTACTTGGGAGGCTGAGGTGAGAGAATCACTTAAGCCAGGAGTTTGAGGTTGCTGTGAGCTATGATGCTACAGCACTCTACCAAGGGCAACCAAGTAGCTGGGATTACAGGTGTCTACCACAATGCCGGGCTATTTTTAGAGACAAGGTCTCGCTCTGGCTTAGGCTGGTCTCAAACTCGTGAGTCAGGCAACCCACTTGCCTCGGCCTCCCAGAGTGCTGGGATTACAGGTGGTGACCCACTGCGCCCAGCCCAGTTAGAACTATTGCATTATACTTGTCATCAAATTCCTTGTCTCTGTACCTCTAACCTAGTCACCTAATCATGCTTAACCAGGTGCCTACTGTGTCTCTCCCCATTCAGTTGAATATTTCTAGAGAAAACTGCACCTAAGCCAACTTATTTAACTTTGTTTGTAATCACCAAACTCAAGCGAGCACCCAGTCTAACTATATTTGCCCAGTAATTCACTTTCTCACTACAAAACATCTGTTGTCATATCCAGCCTTACCCCTGATTTCCAAACTCTTGTTCTATTATCTTCTTGACATACCCATATGCATGTTTAATAGGCATCCCAAACTGAACATGCTCATACTTAATTGAATCCTTGATTCAGGGAAAATATAATAGAGTATGTATTAGAGGCTGGGCAGGGTGGCTTATGCCTATGATCCTAACTCTCTGGGAGGCTGAAGCAGGTGGATTTCTTGAGCTCAGGAGTTTGAGACCAGCCTGAGCAAGAGCAAGACCCCATCTTTACTAAAAATAGAAAAACTAGCCAGGGCTTATGGTGGGCACCAGTAGTCCCAGCTACTCAGGAGACTAAAGCAAGGGAATTCCACAAGCCCAAGAGTTTGAGGTTGCTGTGACCTATGACACCAAGGCATGCCACCCAGGCCTACAGAGTGAAGCTCTATCTCAAATAAAATAAAATATATATGTATTTTTTTTTTACTCTACCCTAATACACACTCTATATATATCAAATATGCTACCCTAATACTCTTATTTTATATACACATATGTATATAGAATAGAGTGCGTATTAGAGTATTGTATATATCAGTGTTAAATTTATGAGTGTGATGATAGTAATTTGATTGTGCAGAAGAAGAATATTCTTAGGAGATATGTTAAAGTACTTGACAAGAAGTGGTTCAGCAAAAGAAAAAGTTAATGCAAATGTGGCAAAACATTCGCAGTTGGTGAATCTAGGTGAAGGTATATGGTTCACTGTGCTGTTTTTACACTTTCTCTTTAGGTTTGAATTTTTTTCAAAATTAAAAAATTAGGGAAGAACCCTTAATATGTCACAAACTAATGTCTTGATTACCACCATACACATACACTACACCCCAGCCTATTCTCAAGTCTTCCCTGTCTTGTTAAACTTTGTTCTATTGGGTGCATAAGCCAAACACCCTGTAGCCATCCTTGAATTTTCTTTTTCTCTCATATCTGTCCATATTCAATTCATTAGCAAATTCTACTATACCTTTAATACGTACCATGAATTTGACCACTTTTCAGTATCTTTACTGG